AGACTAATTTGCTAAAGTGTAACAGATAATCTATAATATTTTATAACAGATGGGTATGTGCTAAATAGAGGTGGAAAAGAACTTGTATGCAGACTCTGCCAAAACCAAATGCAGTAGCTTTTTGTTAATACGACGCTGGCAATGGGCACCAGCACAAGAACAGGTCCAGACTGCTAGCTGTTGGGCGGCGGGGGAGTCTGGAGTATATTTACCTATTCTGCATTTCTTAAAACATGGACAGAGGGTAAAAATACTTTGTTCATCCTACTGTATGTGAATAGCATCCCCAAGTCTTCATTTTCTCAATTCTCTTCCTAAGATTTGATTTATAGCATCAAGAATGTGTATTAAATGGGTGAAGAAAGAAAACAAGTCTGAATGAGTAAGGTATCCAGCAGTGCTCGCAGCTGTAACAGCTATCTGCCTGGCATATGTCTGCCAAAGGTTCATTTTCTTGTAGTTTAAAAAAAAAAAGGTGGCACTGACTGCCACCACAGTTCTTTACATGTTTAAACTTGGTCTTATCCATATCTTAGAAAGAATTAAACTTTGGGCGCTAAATCACATTCGAAAACACTCATGAGAATTACATACAGAACCACAAGCTGTACACAGCAATCCTGAGACCACTCTCTTTAGAAAGGCCTCATTTCAAGTTGCCCTTGGCTGGTATCTGAAACCTTGGTTTCGGGGAGGGTTTCTACCATTCCCTGTTAAGAAGGGCTCACTGTGCCTAAACCGTTCGTGCAAGCAGCGTGCTCTCTGCTGCACCCATGATCTCTCCCTGCCAGTGTGCAGTCTGGGTACAGGCCAGGCAGAATGTGCCAGGTGACCAGCTCCCGGTCTTGGGCACCGAGTCTCTCTCTGATGAGCTTTCCTGGTGGACAGCGTTTCGGGAGTGTTGCTGCAGGCATTAGGTGCATTCTTGACTCCATGGGAGGGGACTCTTGGAAGCTTGCATTGAAATTGCTCAGGAGTTTGGCCCGCGTGCCTTTTCTCTTTGCTGGTTTTGCTTTGTAACCTTTTACTGTAACAAATCACAGCCATGAGTCTGACTAGGCTAAAACTTGAGTGGGTTTTTATCACCACCAAACCTTGTCTTGGGGATGGCCTTGGGAACTCTAGACATACAAATGTTTTGTTTGTTTTAAATTTATTTACTTCTAGAGAGAGGGAAGGGGAGGGAGAGAGAGATAGAGAAACATCAATGTGTGTTGCCTCTCACATACCTCCAACAGGGGACCTGACCCACAACCCAGGCATGTGCCCCAACTGGGAATCGAACTGGCGACCCTTCAATTCATACGCTGGCACTCAAACCACTGAGCCACACCAGCCAGGGCACACAAAGGTTTTTATGTTGTGAACTCTAAATATCAAGGGAAGGTAAAATGGCAACAGGGATTTGGGCTGTTAAAAACAACTTTTTTTTTAAAGCTACAATCTACCAAAGAAAAGTAATCCAAGTGACTTTTTCTCAACTCGCAAAAATCATTTATTTGTCTCAGGATCTAATTTTCATGAAGATGGTTTTGGGTATTTCATGTTAATGAAGTACTATCCTAAAGGTAGTTCTTGGTTATTACAAGGCTGAGGCCAGGACCCAGAAACAGACTGAGCAGTCCAAATAAAATTTACATATGTGTACTCCTGTCCAAGCCTCCAATTTTTTCTAAGAACTTTATAATCTGAATAGAGAGCAGCTAACATACAAACAAGCTAAGTTTCCCTCCTTACTGAAGAGTATCACCACCAAGGTTCTTCAAAATAAATGTTTATCACGTCAAGGAGCGTCTTACCAAGAGTTAAATATAGTTCTGGTCACAGAACGTCCTGAACAGCGCCAGGCTGGCTCTCTAGGCGCACCATCTTTTAAAAGCACTGCGCACGCTGCTGTCGCAGAAATAAATTGCATAAGCAGTTTCTCTATACACATGAAAGGAGTCAAATTCACAAGTAGCTTCAAAAGCTGGGCTAATTTAATGTTAAGAGCCAGACTTCTCAGAAGATATGCCTTTACTATTTTATGCAAATTTTCTCTAGACAGACATTAACCTTGAAGACTAGACACAAGTAACATATCCATTTGTACCCATTTTTTAAAAGTTATTCTCCAACTGGTATTATTTTACCAGTACCTTAAAAAAGGGCTTTTACCAGTACACTTCGGTCTTCATTTCAGCTACTTCCTTCAGTTTTTATACAATTTGAGCTAGAGTAATTTAATTTTTTAGGAAAAAAAAAAGTATCACATATAGTAACTTTCTACAGGGTAGTATTTCCTATAGACTTCAAAAAAATCTTTTTTTTTACATTTAAAAAAAATTTTATTTAGTTATTTTTCAAGTACAGTTTTTTGTCTATTTCTCCCATCCCAGCCCCCCCTGCCCCGTGCTCCCCACCTCCCTCCCATTTCCTCCCCCCCAGTAAAAAAAAATCTTGTTAGGGAAAAAAAAACCCTTAAAAATTTGTCACAAAAAAATTAAACAGTAAGTTACTTCACAAAATTGCTACTAACCCCAGTACTTTATGCTTCAGATAACAATGACCGCAAGAAATACTTAAGCAGTATTTCTTAGGGTTTTCTAGCCACTCTAGAAAACCTCTTTTGAAGTACATTCACCAGAAAAGCCATAGTAACCCGTCTATTTATTTTGGACCTTTCTCTAAAAGAACATGGAGCGACAAGTTTAAAACAAGATGAAAATAACTTCTTTTTCATTTAATATTCATTGAGTGCTTATTTCTTGTCAGGACCTTACTTGGATAATATCTTAATACTCACAACCATACACAGTGATTGGCAGGTATTATTACCCCTATCCTACAGGCAAGGAATCAGAAGTGAAAGAGACTGGCAGCTATCAAGCTGTGGAGCCAGGCTGACTGCTGAGTTTATAATCCATCAACACTACACTGGTCAGGAGAGAGGAAGATGGGGCAGAGATACAAAACAGAACTAGACCGTGGCTGGAAGACAGATGTCACGGTTCCTAGAAAAAAGCTCCAAAATTAAGCGTTGCTTAGAAGGGTAGAGAGAAAGGAATGCTATTGTATTTCTCCACCCCATTGGCAAGTCCATCAAATATATGGTGAACAAAGATAAAGGACAAGGAATTTTCGCTTAAAAAGTCTTGTTTGGCCCTGGCTGGTGTGGCTCAGTGGACTGAGCTGGCCTGTGAACCAAAGGGCCGCCAGTTCAACTCCCAGGCAGGACACATGCCTGGGTTGTGGGCCAGGTCCCCAGTTGGGGGCATGCAAGAGGCAGCCACACAGTGATGTTTCTCTCCCTCCCTTCCCCTTTCTCTAAAAATAATTAATAAGCCTCTAAAAACAAAGTCATGTTCCATGCAAAAGTACGAATACTCAAAGAAAAAAGTATAAGCTTAAATATATCTATAAGGTCCCAGGGATCGGTAGTCCAATTTATTTAGGAGCTGAAGTAAATAAAAGTAATCTCTCCTGACAAATACAGAAAGCTTCCCTAAGTGATTAAGACTCAAGTGTGACTGACTAGTGGAACAGTATTCTTCTCTAGGACTACATCTTAAACTTGGAGTCAGAAGGAAAACAGATCCAACTCCCACTTTTGTCCATAACTTCAAGTCTATATATAATGTTCACAGTGAGTTAACTGACTCAGCTAATTTCAAAGCTGGATATTTCACTTGATACTAGAGCTCGAGAGAGGTTTAAAAGGTAAATTTTAAGTCATGAAATTATAGGCTATCGCACAATTGAATGTTTATTTGAAGCTATAAGTAAACAGTTTGTTTAGAGAAAAATACCATTTGCTTGGCAGTTCTATTTACAGAAATAACGTCTCCAATTTTAAAAAGGCACTTGTTAAAAACATCATGTTAATTTACCATTAGCCACGTCTCCTCCATCCTTAAGTCAGCTGCTTAATTTTCAGAGAGCCCCATTAAAAACATTGACCAAATCTTTCGTTCTCCAGTGCCTGTGTGATGCGTCCTGACTTCAAACACAATGACCAATTCTTACAGATTATGGCTCAAAAATACAAACCAACCCAACAGTATTAAAGAATAAATAATCTCACTACTCCCATATGGGGCATTTTTACATAAAAATACATACAGATTATTTAGTCCAAGACTATAAAAGATGCATGAGAAAAAACTACAATTTAAAGTAAGACGGAGAGTCCAAAATAATGCCAGTGGTTAAGAAAACAATGGCTCCAGACTTCAGAAAATTGTCTAAGATCACAAAATCAAGAACTATAAACGGTTAATCACGTACATATTTGATTACTTTGGAACAAAAAAAAATTACATGTAACAAATGGCAAAGAACCTTCTGAAGTGCTACCCCACCCAAAAAACGCATACCCTATTTATCCTTTTAAACCAGCACTCTAGCCAAACTTAATGCTTGCTGGCTTCTTTCTGAAAACCAGCATTTTGCTTCCAAGGGTCTCTTAATGTGAAGACCAGTCACCATCTGTTTCAACTAAGACTCAACTTCTATTTAGAAATCGCAGTCCCGGTCTCCCATCACACCCACCTCTCTACAAACGCACGCTTGACACATTCCAAGTTAGTGATTTTTTGAAGGGCCCGATTCACTTGCGAAAAACCCTCTGTTTTGTATAAGTCCGTTAGTATTAACATCCAGGTTAAATTTCAGCGTATTTTCTAGTAAGAAACTGTATTAGACGAACTGGCTAAAGCGGGGAGATTTGCTTGTTCACACGTGAAATGCTGGAGCGTCCATAACTCCCCAGAAAAGGATCAGTGACCCCAATCAATCACAGGGCGTGGACCCCCAGGAGCCACGTTCCCACCTTCGCCAGCCCATCTTCACGGACCCTATAGGCCAGTAACGTGAGCGTCCGGCCCGGGCCGTGGGGCGTGCCCGGAGGAGAGGCACCGGAGCCCGAGAGACAAGCTCGAGGACCCGGGCCCTGGAATAGCCAGTTCCCCCACCGCCCCCCCACGCCCGCGCTCCCGCATCTCTCCCCTTTGCTATCTCACCTTTTCGCACAGCGTCCGCACTTGATTCTCGTTCAGCTGTTTACACTCGTTCAGCTGCTCGACCCACTGGTCCAGCTCCTTGGTAAGCGCCTTGTCGTCCATGGCGGCCCGATCCCCCTCCCCCCTCCCCGCCCCCACCCACCCTCGGCCCCGGCCCCGCTCCCCTCTCCGGCCACTGCCGCCAGCTCCCTGCGGGCGAAGAAGGAGCCGCGGAGCGCTGCCGCGGGCCCCACGCCCCGCCCAAGCCCAGCGGACGGCTCCGGCTCCGGGCGCGCGGCCTCCAGGAAACCCCGAGCCTGCCCGCCGGGCCGCGCGCCCCGGGAGTGGGGAGGTGGGGTGAGCGCGGCACGGGGCCTCAGAGCACCTCCCGCCTCACGATGGCCACCTAACTCCACCACCTCCCGTTCGAGGGCCTCTCCCAGTTTCCTCCCCCTTCTCTCTCGGTCTTTCTCTGCCCTCCCTCCGGCTTTCCGTCATCGCCTGGGCATTTCCGCTGGGAAAGGCGAGCCCGCCGCACCGCCACCTAAACGATGCGAGAAGGGATGCAGCGCCGCCGTGTGTCTTGGCGGAGAAACGGTCCGAGAGGGCCCGTGATCGCCCGGCTTCCTCCCTCTTCCCCTCTCTAAATTCTTTCCCAGGTCTCTTGTTTTTTTCTTCATTTCACATCCTTTTCTCTAGGAACCTCGTCCCCACTTTAGTTTCCAACAGTGCTTCTTCAGCGCTCTGGAGAGGGATCGGTGAAGGTCATGCCTTCCCCAACGACATTGTCTCCCCAGATCTACCATTCTCCGGCAAGCATTCAATGTTTGAGTAAATAAATGAATTCCTTCTAGCCTTACCCCTGCCACTAACTAGCTGTGGGGCCGCAACATCTCAAATCTCCCCTTTCAGCATTAGCAAGATAATATGATTGCTCTGCATTATATCAATAATGCAGAACAATTATTGAAAGGGCACGCCCCTTCCAACTCCAATATCCTTTACTGCGTTACCGCACTTTAGGCAATGTTCTAAGTTGTTCATTCAATAAATATTTATCAAGCAATGCTAACTGCCAGATTCCTTGAAGAGCAGATGCCAAACAAGCAGACTGCCTCTACTGGAGGTGTGTACTACGGCGCTGAACCCAAGAGCAAGGCGACATGCTGCAAAGGATGGCAAGGGTACCTACCAATCTTGGCTTTGCCAACTTCCTAGGTGTTTCCTTGGGCAATCCCCAAATCTCCCTGAGTCTCAGATTCCTCTTCTATTAAACGGACTCAATAAGGCCGACTTTTTCAGATTGTGAAGATTAAACTTTACAAGTGCCTTCAATGGTTCAGTTTGGAAGAAATAGTTGCCCTTTTTCCTCCTAAGCAACAGTTATAGAAAGCTTTAGAACTGTGGATTTGAACTGAATTTTGAACATTCTGCCAGGGCAAAAACTTGAAGCTGCCTGGAGTGGAGGAAAAAACGTTTTAAGGATTTTTTTTTTTTTTGTCTTGCTATGCTTTGTGGCAAAGGACAAATGTGTAAAAGACCATGGTCTGTGGAAAAGCTACATAAATACTCCTATCAAACAGAAATAGGTCACGGGGTGGGAAACTGGCAGAACTCCTGTTTGCAAATAACTTGTAAATAGCAGCACACCAGTTGAAGAACGAATCATGAATAGGTGATGAAACGATAATGAAGGGGCAACTGTGTGATCGTGATAGAGGTTGCGTCTCTGAAGAGGCGAGACTCTAAAGGTTTCAAAGAGGCTGAACTTCAGCGAAACCTAGAAAGCTCAGAATGAACGTGAGAATGGTATTTTCTGAGTGCCTCATTTATTCTGATCATTACAACCTTATGAAGTAGGTGCTGTTAATATTGTTCCCATTACTCAAGTGAGGATACTGAGGCAGAGAGGTAAGATTCTGGCCCAAGGTCACCCAGTTGGGGCTGGGAAAGGAAGCTTAGTAGCTCTCCAGGCTGTATGTTCCACAGTCACCAATTCTGCCAATAATTTTAAGGCTTTTTTTAAAAGGCTCTTGTGCTCCAAGAGTATATGAATATTTTATGTATTTTATATAAATGTATAGGTGAAATATATAATTTACTGTAGATTTTCCACTAAAATTGCCTTACACTACTTTTTTGGTTATTTTTCTTATTTTGGTAAAACATAACATTTACTACTTTAACTACTTTTAAGTTTACAATTTAATGGCATTAGAAACTCTCAAAATGTTGAACCCTCAGCACTATGAACTCCAGAACTTTCTCATCATCCTATTAAACTCTGTGCTGATTAAACAATGGTTGCCTTTACCCCTTAATATATGTGTACCTTTATGTATTGTCACAAAACTCAGAAGTACTCTTAGCCTGATGCCCTAAAGAAGCATGTGATGCTCTATTTCTCTTAAATGATCTAGGTTGATTTAATTCTGATTTGCATTTTCTGATATTGTATCATATTTCATTGATTCTAAGATACTGTTTTTTCCCCCACAGCTTAACATTTCTGAAATTCAGTCCCACCTTATAATTAATGAAACCTTAGATTCAATAAAATCCTCTTAGAATAATTATTTATAAGCCAAAGTGCTATCTTCAAGCAACTTAAAAGTTTTGGTCTCTCCCCACCCTTCAGTTTAGTGCATTATGATGGTATTTATTTAATAGTTAATTTTATTTCTGCCTGCATGTAGTTTAAGTTACTCCCACCCTTCCTAATTTTTTCTTGATATGTGAAACATTACCCAAGCTTCCAAAAGTAAAATTTACCCAAAAATGTGAATTCAGAAAAATGTCAGTTTCCCTTAAACATTTCACGTCAACTTGTTTTCCTGTGTTCTTGTACGTCAATATATGCCTATATATTTCCCCTTATTTCTCACGTAAAAGGTAACATATAAAATGTACTTTTTTGTGGATTTTCAGGAAATTTCTTGTTTCCTCACATTTAGAAAGTCTTTAAGATAACTAACCCACAATATTGGTTCAAACTGTTCAATTAGTAAAAGTAGTTAATAGTCATGTATTTATTTATTGCGTATCTACTTTGTGCTACTTACTACACCTGCGGCTGAGTATATGGTGCTTTTAAGAATGTTATTTTTAAATATATTTTTTACTGATTATGCTAGTTTTCCCATTTTTTATCCCCTTTATCCCCCTCCACCCTGTACCCTCCCACCTGCATTCCCCCACCTTAGTTCCTGTCTATAGGTCATACATATAAGTTCTTTGGCTTCTACATTTCCTATACTATTCTTAACTTTCCCTAGTCTATTTTGTACCTACCGTTTATGCTTATTTCCTGTACCTTATTAATGCCCCCCACTGATAACTCCCCATGTGATCTACATTTCTGTGAATCTGTTCCTATTCTGGTTGTTTGCTTAGTGCATTTCTGTTTTTGTTTTTGTTCTTTTTAGGTTTGATAGTTGGTGATTTTGCTGTCATTTTGCTGTTCATATTTTTGGTCTTCTTTTTCTTAGATTAAGTCCCTTTGTTTCATATAATAAGGGTTTGGTGATGAACTTTTTAAACTTCAACTAATCTGGTAAGAACTTTATCTGCCCTCCTACTTGAAGTGATAGCTTTGCTGATAGAGTAATCTCCGATGTAGAGTCTTGCCTTTCATGACTCCAAATACTTCTTTCCAGCCACTTCTTGCCTGCAAGGTTTCTTATGTGTGGTATAAGAAGGTGGTCTAGTTTCATTTTTCTGCACCTGTTCAATTTTCCCACTATTTATTGAATAAACTATTTTTAGCCCAATGTATGTGTGCTTGCTTCCTCTATTAAATATTGACTGTGAAGGTGTGATTTTATTTCTGGGCCCTGCTCTGTCCCCTTGATCTATGTTTCTGTTTCTATGCCAGTACCATGCTGTTTTGATTACTATGGTTTCACAGTATAGTGTCATAACAGGTAGTGTGACCTCACTTTGAGAATATATCCAAAGGAACCCAAAACACTATTTCGAAAGAACATAAGCACTCCTGTATTCATTACAGCGTTATTTACAATCACTGAGATTTGGTGGCAGCCCAAGTGTCCATCAGTAGGGCAGTGGACAAAACCACCAAAGGACATTTGCACAATGGACTACTACTTCGCCATAAAGAAGAAGAAAATTTTAACCTTTGTGACAGTATGAGTGGACCTGGAGAACATTTTGCTAAGTGAAATAAGTCGATCAGAGAAAGACAAATACTATGTGATTTCACTTTTTGGTGGAATCTAATGAACTGAACTAACAAGCAAAATAGACTCACAGTGTGCTAAGGGGGCGGGGAGGTTAGGAGTGGAGGGGCAGAGCAAAAAGGAAAAGGACTCATGGACATGGACAACAGTGTGGTGATTGAGAGGGGGTAGGGGATATAAGCAGACTAAATGGTAATGGAAAAAAACAAACTTTCAGAAACAAACAAAAGAAATCATTTACCAAATCAGTGCTAAAACATATATTTGTGGAACAATGTTTTCGCTAGCATGTACTTAGGCCTAGGACGTTTGTGTCTGCATTGAACATGTACAGACTTTTTTTCTTGTCATTATTCGCTGAACAATTCAGTATTACAGCTACTGATAGCATTTACATTGTATTAGGTTATTTTTTTCAAAAGAATTTATTTTTAGAGAAAGGGGAAGGGAGAGAGAGAGAGGTAGAGAAACATCAATGTATGAGAGATACATTGACCAGTTACCTCTCACATGCCCCCAACTGGAGACCTGGCCCAAAACCCAGGCATGTGCCCAGACTGGGAATTGAATAAGCAAGGACCTTTTGGTTCGCAGGCCAGCGCTCAATCCACTGAGCCACACCAGCCAGGGCACATTTTATTAGGTACTATAAGTAACCTAGAGATGATTTAAAGTGTGGGGAGGATGCACAAAGGTTATATGCAAAGTCAACATTTTATATAAGGGACATGAGCATCTGTGGATTTTGGTATTCATGGGGGATTCTGGAATCAGTTCCCCGTAAATACTGACAGATGACTCTACTTCTTTTCACTTCTGAGGCAAACCCAGAGTTGAGCCAAAAGAAAATGCAATGCCAAGTACTATGCTAGATCGATATCTTGCCAAGAATATGAAACATGTCTATCAACTTAAATCATTCGATGGAAGATGGAATTATACTTTCCTATAATACATTCATCCATATATACAATGTCAGTTTTTAAGGTATACTAAATTCATGTGTCACTTCCACCTAAAAACCTTACACTCACCTTTTCACCATGTGTAACTCGATTGTTCAAGACTTGACTTAGGGTTGTCTTACTCTTCTAAGTATTCCTAAGTCCAGCAGGACTTAAGAGGAAAAGATTTTCTTCTTAAGACCTATAACACCAAGCACAGAATCTATCACACTATTTACTCTTTATTTCACACTATTTACTTTATTTCAATAGCTGGTTTCTTGCGTGCCTCTGTCACTCTACACAGAACATAAACTCCTTTGCAGCCAGAAATGCCTCATGGGTTTTTTTCAGTCCCAAATGTCCATCATACTGCCGAGTGTGGCAACAGAAAGTGCTTGATACACATTTGTTGTTCATAATTTGGTAGTGTATTTACATTGAATGGAATAGATTAATGGATTTTAATTGTCTCTATAAAAACAAGCAAGTGATCATTCCTAATCTCTAATCATTTTTGATTTTTTTTACTCTATCAAACACTTGAGATATTCACTCATAGGTAATTTCTACTTTGCTCTCTGAATGAGTACCATCAAGATTACAGAGGAGAAATTTTTTTGTTATTGCATGTTTCTGGTTCAAGAACAGAAAACAGGTTCTGGTACCAGAAAACAGGGTAAGAAAATTAGTTTTTAGTCTGTCCTAATATTTTGCCCTAAAAATGCATGAGAAGAACACAAAAGTAACACAGCTGACTCAGCAGGTTCTATGTGCTCATAATTCAATAGATGGCATATTTTGAAATCCTGTTTTATTTTTGTATAGTTGAGTATAAGAAAGGTTAAGAGGGTGGGTGTAGTTCTAGGAAACTCACAGAAGTTAATGGTCTTGGGAAAGTTCTCAAAATCATGAGGAGGGATGGAAGACAGAGAGCATGCCTCTCCTGAGTGATACAGAGCAGAATAGGCTTCGGGACAGGACCTGAAGTCCATTTTGAGGAAAATGATGTTTTTGTCAATATTCGGGCATGGTATCAAAAACATCTTGGTTGGGAATCAGTGGATGAGGAGTCATGAGTGATTTAATTCAGCTAACTCCCAATATGGAAAACACATGCACTTCTTAATGTAACTAAAATAATCTCAGCCAAGAGGAGGATGACAGCTAAGAAACGGGGGAGGTTGGGGGACGGAGGGATTGAGCACAAACGGAGGAGGATTCATGGACAAGGACAGTACAATGACTGTGTGGGGTGGTGGGTATAAGGGACTATAGGGTAATGGAAAAAATATAATAAAAATTAAAATAAAATGAATGCAAAAAAAATAAACTTAGCCAAAGAACTAGAAAAATTTGTGTGCACATATGAGGTACCCCCAAAATCCCAGGATTATCTGCAGGAGGGTAGGCCATTTGTAGTAACAGGCTTCCCATACTAGGTGAGCATTCTAGGAACCCATCTCACCGGTGTATGGGCTGGGCTGGTGGTGTTGAGAGAGGCTGCATTTGGCTTCAGTGACATTTTTTGGGAAGACTCAGTGCATTTGCCTATTACATGATGGGTGAATTTATGAGTGTACCCACCCACACCGTGCTGAGTGTCCAGCAGTTTTTTAATAAAAACATAATCTTTATATATTTTTCCCATTACCACATAGTCCCCTTTTACCCCCCTCCCCCCAGCAATCACTGCACAAAAATATGGAACGCTTCACGATTTGCATGTCATCCTTGCACAGAGTCCATGCTAATCTTCTCTGTGTCTTTCCAATATTAGGGTATGTGCTGCCGAAGTGAGCGCTGCTCAACAGTTTTTGACCAAAAGCAGCATGACCCCCGTGCCCCCCTGGTGCGACTTTTTTTGTTTCCCCAGATGAAAAAAGTCCTCAAAGGGAAATGTTTTGCTCATGTGGAAAAGGTGAAACAAACAAAAAAGGTCAGAAGCACTAAAAGGCATCAAAATCAACTGTTCAAAACTTTTGAGCAGCGGAAAAAAACGCCTCGATAAGTGTATTGTATCAAATAGAGAGTACTCTGAAGGTGACTGAAGTTTAAACATGTAAGAATAAATACACAATTTTTTAATAAATAAATTCTGGGGTTTTTTGGGTCCCAGCCTATTGAGCAATTCAAATCGAACAGGCAAATACACATGTTTCTTAATCAAACATGCAAAAATCTCAAACTACTGCTCTTTGCACATTCTAATTTTAAAAGGGATTATATATCAGGTACACAAGTTGTTTGGAATTAAAAAAGCAGGTAAAACATCAAAGGAGAGAGATTTAGGACATCTTATATTCTTTTCAAACAAACAATACTGGAAACTATTAACTGATCTTCACAAAAATGACTTATGCAAAAATATCTTAAAGGGCCTTCTGAATGAGTGCATTTATAAAGTAATCCAATATTTCCCTTTACAGGGATGGTGTCAAGATTAGTTGATGTGCACACATAAATAAACAAACAAACAAATAAATAAATAAAATAGGATGCTTTTGGCACAAGACATGTTCAATAACTGCTGACTGAATGTAAATATGATCTTTAATCAAACAGTAACCAACTGACTAGAGCACCTTTCTCAAAACAAATTCTAACATTTTCAGAAAGAAATGACTCTTGTCATACACCTAAATTATTCTTACCAAATTAAAAAAAAATACTTTAAAATAAAAGGAGTTACAAATCCTAAGATAAATGCAGTTTCCTGTGACGACAAATTGGAATGCAGTGTAATTTGAGACAAACTGTTCCACAGGATATAGTTCAAAGGAGACTTCTAACAAATACCAGAGGGATTCTGTAATGGTTTTAAGATTCAGAAATAACAACAACAAAGCGACAGCATAGCTTACATACCAAGAAATAAAAAGAATTTATATCCTTAGAAAAATTTTCCTGTCTTAACCTCTACTGAATTCTTTTAAGTCTTATTTCCACACTGCATTACTAATCAACCCCTTACCTTCTCAGTTTTTCATTAGCAGCTGTACCTGCCGTCATTGCTCTTGGAATTGCATTTATTATAACAAATTTAAAGTTGTTTTATAAAAATAATTTTTCCCTCCACAATCCTGTTTTTCAAATTGCATGAATAATCCTGAGTTTTATCATGTACTCAGAAAATATTATGAGTTAAAATCAAGCTAAGCCTATAAAAAAGGTTTAATATGCCTGAATACAAATTATTTTTTCCCACTTAAAGTTACCCCCACTGAAAAGGACATGAAGCCTTACTCTCTTTGGAAGACTTAAGATCAAAAGTAACTTTGAGTCCTGGCTGGTGTAGCTCAGTAGGTAGAGTGCGGGCTGCAAATCAAAGGATCACTGATTCGATTCCCAGTCAGGGCACATGCTTGGGTTGCAGGCCAAGTCCCCCCAGTGGGGGCCACGTGAGAGGCAACCACACATTGATGTTTCTCTCCTTCTCTTTCTCCCTCCCTTCCTCTCTCTCTAAAAATAAATAAACAAAATATTTTTTTAAAAAGTAACTTTGAATGTGTATTCAGAGTTTACAAGTATGTACCGCAAACAACTTAGGAGTTGACAGGATATGCTTTGGTAAACTCTGTTAGACGGCTCAAAGAGTATGAATGATAACAAACGCTGGTGTCCAAGATGCACGAGAGGATGCTGAAACTGTTCTACGACTTGTTAAAATTAAAAAAATATTTTAGTGTAACATACAATTAACATTTAAACCTTTTATGTGTATCCCTAAAAGTTCATATATTTTTTATTAAAAACCTTTTCTTTGGGGAATCACTGGGAAAGTGAGGGTACAGCCTTGTATTTTTGGCTAGATTCAGAATCCAGGTTTTAGAGACATTTTTATGTTATGCATATTAATGGAAGGCAGAGTAACATAATAAAAATATAAGAATATGAAAATTAGGTTGATTACCTCCTCAAAGAGACCTTCCCAAAACATCTCAGCTCATGTATCTAGTCATTTTTTTAAATGTATTTTATTATGCTATTACAGTTGTCCCAATTTTTTCCCCTTAGCCCCCCTCTGCCTGATATCCCCTTCCTTACAGAAATCTCCCCCCTTCCCCAGCAGTTCATGTCCAATGGGTTGTGCATCGAAGTTCTTTGGCTTTTCCATTTCCTATACTATTCTTAACATCCCACTCTTGTATCTATCAATTTTTATGCTTTTTAATCCCTGTACCTCTTCCCCCATTTGCCCTCTCCTGCCTCTCAGCTGATAACCCTTCAAATGATCTCCATACCTATGATTCTGTTCCTGTTCTAGTTTGCTTGTTTTTTTGTTGTTCAAGTAGTTTTGTCTTTTATTCCCCTCCCAGTCCACCCCCCCAGTGCCCCCTGCTTAGTTGTTTTTTGATCCAGTTGTTCATAGTTGTGAATTTATTCCACGTTGTTTTTCACGTATCACTTATGATGTGAAATTATTTATTTACATGTTTATGACCTGTCTCTCTAGACTAGAATGAGAACTGCACTGAGGGCAGGACTTTGGCTCGTCCTATGAACCTGCAGGCAGTAATGAAGTGTGTAAGCATGAGGGGAAAGGAAGGAGGCAATGAAAGCAAAAGCAGATGGAGTGGAGTGTTGGGAACCGCCCTGCCTGGTAATCCCATGGCTAAGGCTGAGTGAGCGACCTTCGGACCATAAGCCACTAAGGTAACAAAGCTTATCTCCCTGGCAAAAGTGGCCCATCTGCTCCTTTTACTTCATCCATAACTGGCCCCCAATGCTTGATCGGTTAGCCAATGACGGGTAAGATTCCCCAAGGGGAGAACCACCTAAGATAGGCATGATCACGAGGAGGCCCCAGGGAAGGACTTGGGGGGCTATAGCAAAAGGGGGTGATAGACCCTTGCCTCTCGGCTTTGACCAAGCCTGAGTCCTCATTCTGTCTTCGAGAAGTCTCCTCATCTCTTGGCTGCCTTACTTCCCCTGCCTGACTTAAGCCTGAAACAATAACAGGGGGCTGTGCAGCCCCTGCTGGAAAGGTAAGGTCCCCCAGGTGATCAGGCCTAAGAAAGAATAAATTCCTGTGACACCTGCTTTGCTAAGAATGCTCTCAATTAAATGATAAGGGTCCGAGCAGGAAATGAGTTTGTTTCCCAAAGTTTTGTAGCCCTTTAGCTAACAGACCCTGACTCAGAATAGGCCCTTGTAGTTCTTTGTATGCTATCTATTGTTTGATCCTTACTGGCTGACCATCATTAATGAGCTTTACCTGAATTCCTGTGCAATCTGAACCCAATAAAAGCTTGTCAAGGCAAGGGTGAAGGCGCTCTCCCCTTGAGAGAGTAGCTGTGCCGTCCCTTTTCCTCCACGGGACTCGGTAGTCTGAGTGAATTTGTCTCCTATCTCATCCACGACACCTCGGACACTGATGCGGGCTGGTGTCTACATCGGTGGAGGAAGGGCTCCAGTGGTTTACTTGGTCTCTAAGTCAGTTCTCTGTGGGGTGGGTTGGTGTTCACGTAATAGGTGTATCTAAACCCAGGACCATCCGCATATTTGCTCATTCTTCAAGATACACAAAGGGAACCTCCCCTACCTCCCTGAAACCAAATAAATCCTGGAATTCAGTTTATTCAGATCATTCTTCTTCAAGTTCCGAAAGAATATTTACAGATAGCCAGGAATTTTTGGTGTATAATGTTAGCTCAATTTTAAATTTCTTCTATTTTTATTTTTAGAACCAAAATTTTAGCTCAAGGAGGAAAATACTACATTTTTTCATGGTCTGTTTCAAAGTACAGATTTCTAAGTATAACTGAATATTCAGATAAGATTGTTTTCATTTTTTTGAAGAAATTCAAACTTATGAAATAAAAATATCATGAAGACAGTATCAGTATCAACAGAATCTGAAAGTTGTTTAAAGAAAGCATCTTTAATTAGAATATTTAACTTTTGGTTTACCTAAAAGAAACATTTTTAATAATAAATTTGTAACATATTTTTATAACCAAACACAAATCAAATGGCTGAGGCAGTGTCATTTTTTGAATAACAGTTAAGATTATTGCTGTAATGCCTGTTTAAGTGTTCTGATTTTTACAGACTATTTTCAAATAAAACAACTATATGGACAAAAATACATGTGATCTTGGTATTGCTTTAATTCTATAGCATTTTTTCAAATTCGTTTTTCTCGATTGCAGTTCTTTGCTTGACCTTCCTCTTTTAAAGATCTGTTTGCTTGCTAGAGAAGAACCCTAAGCATTCTGCATTCTGTGCTGTTCAGTTAATGTGGCTAAAGAAGCTTCTCCTGGGGGTTATTAGTGTTTTCTAAATTCAAAATTTACTCTACAATAGATATGGCTGAATTACACTCCGTTTGGAGACCTGTGCTAGATAACAGTTTGCTAACTTAAAAAAGTTTGAGAGAACACTGAAAGGTTACCTGTCTGTGCAAATCTATTACCACATTTTAGGGCCTGCTAGCACGTGAGAAAATGCTGTCTAGTTGCGAGGAATCCGTCTGACTGAAATCTCACAGCAAACAGGGATATTGCTGGCGGTCAGAGAGGTTTCTGAAGATCACAGTTACACACTATACCCTGTTGTTCTACAATGGTTATCATTAAGGCATTTTTTTTACTTCTGTGGATTACTGAAAAGGAAAAAAAAATTGTAACCCCAGCACTAAGAAAACTTGTATTTGTGCTATATTATTTAAATAACTAAAATAACATAAAACTAATAGTGTAAAGACTTTTTTCCCTATTATTTGCCACAAAATCATCAAAAACTGTTTATATTATGAAATACAAATACAAAAGATAATATTGTGGAAAAGGCTATATAAAA